AAACTACATGAGCCAAATCTTGGCTACTTTTGGATCAGGCTTCAGTTAAGTTTAGGCTAGATGTGGGCTAGTTCCTGGTTATGTTTGCACAATATGGGCCAAATCTTGCCTACTTCTGAATGAGATTTGGATTAATCTTGAGCTAAATCTGAGTTAAGTGTGTGTAAAGTTCATAAATCCAGTGACACCAATGGATCTTTTGGATCAGGCTTCAGTTAGTTTTAGGCTAGATGTGGGCTAGTTGTTGGTTATGTTTGCACAATATGGGCCAAATCTTGCCTACTTCTGAATGAGATTTGGATTAATCTTGAGCTAAATCTGAGTTAAGTGTGTGTAAAGTTCATAAATCCAGTGACACCAAAGGATTTTTTGGATCAGGCTTGAGTTTAGTTTAGGCTAGATGTGGGCTAGTTGTTGGTTATGTTTGCACAATATGGGCCAAATCTTGCCTACTTCTGAATGAGATTTGGATTAATCTTGAGCTAAATCTGAGTTAAGTGTGTGTAAAGTTCATAAATCCAGTGACACCAAAGGATTTTTTGGATCAGGCTTGAGTTTAGTTTAGGCTAGATGTGGGCTAGTTGTTGGTTATGTTTGCACAATATGGGCCAAATCTTGCCTACTTCTGAATGAGATTTGGATTAATCTTGAGCTAAATCTGGGTTAGGTGTGTGTAAAGTTCATAAATCCAGTGACACCAAAGGATTTTTTGGATCAGGCTTGAGTTTAGTTTAGGCTAGATGTGGGCTAGTTGTTGGTTATGTTTGCACAATATGGGCCAAATCTTGCCTACTTCTGAATGAGATTTGGATTAATCTTGAGCTAAATCTGAGTTAAGTGTGTGTAAAGGTCATAAATCTAGCGACACCAAAGGATCTAATCAAGTGTGCAGCATTCGCTCTCAAGAGCAGTAGCACAGTAGCATTGTCTCAGGTGTCCCGCAAATGTCAGTCAACGGAAATCTTACCCGACTCTCATGACATCCGCTACTGGTGCACGAGTCCGTAAATAATCGTGTAAATGTCGATGCCCGATAGACACAATAGGCATTCCCTGTCGACAACCGTCCCTGGCCTCGTGCAGGCCAATCTGTACCGGGTTAGCGACACACCTAATCGTCCCGCAACTTTCGAGAATGATCCTGGATCAGGAAGGAGGAAGTCGATCTGCTGGATGTTTTACAGACATTGACAAGGGACACGGAGCAAAACATTTCGGGCGAAAATATTGATTTTACCATACAGGGTATTTAGGTACATATACAGCATACTGGACGTTTCATCATCAGCTGCGCAACCGGTTTTTCTGATGACCTGCACCTAGTCCAAAAACTGTTCTAATAATAGCAGACCTTATTATGGATCATACCAGGTGACAAATGATAATTCGAAGCATAGAAAATTATTCATACTTATGTCTACTATGATATGAATCCCGTGATAGTTACCCTAACCCTAACCTTTTGGACCCAGTTAGAGGATCTTTAGGTCTGCAGACTCAAACACTTTAAAATTCACATGACAAAAATTTAGAGTATTACTTAAACAATTCTTTTCAACAATTCTCTTGTTCTTGGTCTAAAATGTATACATCTCAATATAACCTTACATATCTAGACCAGAAGTTACTATACCCTATATGATATTCTTATTGCCATTCTGTTACCATTTGTTCCATCGATCCCCACTTTCACCATGTGATTCCAATCGCTATAAAATTTTTATAAATAGTCCTAACAACCTATCATTTTTAACGCTTCCTTTCCAATGTTGTTGGTCCAGGTACGGCGCCACTGCCCACGCACCAAAGAAGAACAGTGCCAATTAATATCACGATGATCGTTTAGCACGGTCCTTAACCATTACGACGAAAGATAAGCCTGGGTTAAAGACAATGATCCGTCGGGCGTGTCGAGATTACTTGGAATTCCGTGGATAGGGCTTTTGTTAGACGTCGTATCTCGCGATCTGAGCATTATTAAGCCGCCCACGTGGCCAAGGCGACGCTTGACACGCGACACGATTTTGCGGCCATTCCTGAGATACCTGGAGTATCTTGGTACCAATAACTTGTGAAGATGTTTCTTAACACAGCGACTGCCAAAATTCTTTTTCATTATTAAGACGATAATAATGAAAGAATTACCGTTTCAGTCTGGTTTCGCTTATCATTGATTACTCTACTGAGAAACTATTAGACTACATTTAATCCTGTATTATTGTCGAATTTCCATTACCTTCTTCAAAAATGGAAATGGACGAAGTATTTACCTTCGAATGCCTCTGTTTGGATGGATTTTGACCCGACTTTTCAAGGGCTCTAATTGTACTTACCAGTTTTTAATTTAAGCCAGAGCTAGAAGTTGTTTATGTCACCTAAAATAATAGGTGTTCTTAAACTCAAAATACATAGGGTCCATACTGACCCGGGCAGTGCTGGATACATAAAAATTTCCACTTTCCAAATATTAAATTCTATTCCAAAGACTTTTGATGTACCCTCTTCTTTAGACCACTCACCCATTGTATCCCAGATTCGGGAATAAAAAAGTTTCAGATTTTTCTTGACATGATTTTACGCAGAGTGACTCGATAACGGTCCTAAATAACTCTAAGGTAGGTGGTTTTGCAACACTTTGGGATCCTTTCGCCGAGAATATCAGAGATCGTTGTCACACAGGTAAGAAAATACTTCCATGCGTGGTCAGAGGCATACATGCGTGACGCCTATTCTTCTGCTATGGAGATTGTGCAAAATCGGGAGGATTATTTGCCCGTGGATTTCACGCGATTCACGCAATCGCGACCGGACTTTTTTCCATCGAGGAATTCGTTTCGCTGAAATGTCTGCCGCCTTTCGTCGCCCAACGTGGTCCATGTGATTTCTTGCACGTCTGAGGTTCTTGCCATGGGCCAGTGGCTTTACAAAATGACACACTGCGTAACCATGTGGTTAAATAACTTTACACCCTCGAACGAAAAAAAATGCAACAAAAAAACTCGAATGTTTAAACAAATTATAAAATATAGAAATCATTCAACACACAAATTATAATGTAGCTTAATAATACAATTACAATAAAATTTACAAATTATAAAACACATAGATAATAAAATTTACAAGTGACAAAATACAAAAATTTAAAAATGTATAAATTATAAAATTTATGCAGCATTGCTTACAACACTTTCGATATGCAATTCTGTGGTACATATGATTTGGTTTACCCTCGAAACATTTCAATTTCTATTCGTCTACCCTCGTTATCTCGAATCAATAGTTTTTCTTATTCATATTTCCAAGTTATTAATCATACGCTCGTTACTCAGGCAACTATATTCCCGAAGACTTCCAGCGACGAAACGGCGGTTCACGGTAGCTGTAGGCTAGTTTTTCAAGTTTCTCAGTCGGATCTCCGGCTAAATGCGGAACAAATGATTCGCCACAGTCAATCACCGTGCGATTGATCGTTCCAAGGAGACGCGACAACCTTCGTCCCGATCGATGCGCCAACGTTCACCTCTTTTTCCGTCAGAAGTCTCGGTTCCCCCTGTAATTGCTACTCGCTTCTTTGAATACCCGGGACGAGGTCATTTTCCCATAATAAAGAAGATATTATTCGGCGGAAAAATTATGATCTCGATATGATTTATGTTTCATTAGAACGTATTTTCATTACACCCCTCCCATTGTTGATTGCATCAACCGATATGAATAAATGCGTTGCTAAACGCGTAATTGCTGAATGACTCGACCCGTCGAAGGCGTTGATTTATTGAAAAATGTGTTAAACAATGCGGAATGAATTATTGAACATGTACTAGCCTAACCCTACAGTGTCTAGGTAATGCAAAAACTACTAAGCTTATATGTACAGTAAATCCTCGGTGAGTGTCCGAAGGCACTGAACATTAAATATTTAACATTAAATATTTCATAAACTAATGGTCATGTGCGGCTGAAACAAATATCATTGGCTTAAGAATTCCAGGCTCTATCACTGTGCTAAACCTCATTAAAAAATCAGCGTTAAGCTGCGACTATACTATATAACAAAAGAGTGTTACATAAGAAATTGTTATATAACTTTACTATACAACATTTTTGTTCAACTTGTTAGAAAATTATACCTTTCAATAATGGCGTCACACTTGATGGATAACATGTAACTTGCTATATAACACAAAAAATGTTATATAACATTTTTCTTTCTGTCGTTCCATCAAGTTTCATAACTTTGCTATAAAATTTGTTAAATAGTGTAGACGCAGCTTTATACCTAGGGACGTCTCCTTGTCAGTGCCGAGGAGCCTTCATCGAGAATTTACTGTAACTTGAAGTAAATCGAACGTTCACAATACAAAATAATATCTTGAAAACGTACGCAACAAATTCGAGAAATATTCACATACTTACAATCCAAATACTTCACAATCACCCAGAGATCACATCATCCTCATACCATCTATCCCCTAACACTCAACTAACCAAGATTAACTAAAAAGTAGATAGTCCAATCTCCACCTCTAATTGACTAGTCATGTTACTGAAATCTATTTACGATATTCTCCGAGCCAGACACTAAAATATACACACACAGAAATCTGCATTTGATAGCAAAATGGTCACTTAAACCGCGGACATAGCGCTCGGGCTCTCGACCTTCCGCGAGACGACTGTAGTTTTTGCCCATCCACAGACTATTCTGGGAGGCGTCGTTCAGTCGTTTCATAGACCCCGTATGAAAAAGGATCGACGAGGAAGCGGGGCCCGTTGACGGCCGTGCACCTGACCTCGAAGGGGGGGACCCTTTTGAAAGACGAGTCGTGGCCCCCAACGAGCAGTAATGTCAATGTCAGCGCACTTCAGGTGCAGCAGAGTCGCTTCAGGGTGTGGTCCCCTCCTACGGGTTCGTCGACTCCCTACCAGTTTCACATATATAAAAGGAGATGCCTGCCTGGAAAGGGTACTACATAACAGTTGATACCTTAGGGCGAGTACTGGTTAATCATCCAGCAGCGCTCTTAGCACCCGCTATACCATGAAATCTCTTGTAAGTAGCTAGAACGTGTCGTGCATCTCAAACTGATTGGTGAATTGAGTAGTTCGAGTAGGTGTTCGATTTTTTAACTGGTGAAACGATGGATTCCAAGGCATAATTGCAGAGTGTAATTTCCGCAGTATAATTTGCAGAGCTTGACCAATGAACTGAGACCTAACCTCCTCAGGGACAAATTATTAAGACTTTTTCAGCTGTATCTATTTGAAATATATTTATGAATCTTAATGCCAATGAAATGGTTATTGTTTTATTTCATTAATGTGTTTATTCACAATAATATTCATTGTACCTTTGGATCCATGCTTGAACGAAAGAAAAAGTAAAGTTACACATATGTGCCAGTATCTCTCAAGAGGTTAACGTAGATCTAACCCAGAAGTGTTGATCTAGCACAAACCTAACCTACACTTGTATCGTGTTTATATGACTAAATCGTACCCTCACGAGCAAACTCGGCTTCCACTAGTGGAAAAAGTGGCGTAAGAGAAAGACCTCCTTGGTAAATTTATTTCAAGTACAGAAATAAAGTTAAATTGAATGTTAATTTCACATAAATTTCAATAATTCCCGAGACTAAGTGATAGAAGGTCCTTCTCCGACACTGCTTTTTCCCCTATCGGAAGCCGAGTTTACTAATCGGTGTACATTTAACTGATGAACTAATTACTCTGTTGCATTCAATATACCAAATTTGTAAAATAAATTGTTCCTTCACATTACAGATTATTATCGCTCTGTTCTGCGGTTTGACGATCGTAGAACCAGGTTATCTGGCGCCACTGGTGTCCTACAGCTATTTCGGTATTCCCCTGGCTTACGATGGAAGAGTTCTGGACACGCCAGAGGTGGCACAAGCGAAAGCAGCCCACCTAGCCACACAGGCGTACGAAGCAGCGAGGAACACGCTCGGTTATGGACCTGTGCCTTTCTTGACCCGTGTTTATACACCTGCAATTACCCACGGCGCACCCATAGGCCCGGACGGCCGAGTCGTCGATACACCTGAGGTCGCGGAAGCGAAGGCTGCTCATCTTGCTGCTCACGCTCTGGTAATTGCTAGGAAGACATCTATCGAACCACTCCGAATTTGACTAATAATTGTCTGTTCGTTTATTAATATTGACACGTCTCGCGCGTCGAGCCACGCTTAGAATTGATTAGGAGATGTTTACGCTGAGGAATTTCAGTGTCAGAATTTATTTGACTTGTAAATAATTCTGGATAAATATTTACGATACGGGAATTACCTCCGATCTTGCAGATTTTTAAATATGTTGCCACGATCGTCACCCTGAGTAGTGTTGCGAAGGTGCTAGTTGGGGATTGCAGTTTGTAAAAAATTACAACCAAAAACAGGGGGGAGATAATTATTTGAAAGTTCGGCATTCTCACTGATTTCGATTCGTTGAAGTCGAAAAGACAATTTCTTTTTCACAATTACTAACGAAAATGAAATATTGTCTTCCAAAATTATTGACGGACTTTTCAGTCTACTTCATCAAGTAGAAACTCGTCTATTGTTTTGGGATAATTATTATCGAAAAAAACTATTCAGAGGTGGTTAGAGATAGTTCAAGAAAAAGGTATCATTGTTCTCTTAATAACTCTTTAGTAAACAACATTTGATAACTGAAACATTCTGAAGGTCGCTCAGGAGGGTGACCTTCACAACATATGTCAAGGTCAAGATCATCGGTCAGTTTACTTGTCAATACTACTAAACTTTTTTAACTAATAACACTCCTTGATAACCTTGACAACATATTAAAAAATCATCCAAAAATCGAAGGTGGCTTCGTTACTGTAAATATTTACCATAATACTTTTTCTTTAGGTCGTTAATATTCATGAAATTTACATTCTTCAGAACTTTAATTGAAATTTGTGTAAATTTTTTAAGTCCTTATAATTTTATTTTTGGATTTTCCATTGCAGGAAGCTGCAAAGAAGCTAGGCATGTATCCGTATGGTGCTCTGGCGTACTCGTCCATTCCGTACGCCTACAGATACAGCTATGCCGCCCCCCTTGGTTCTGATGGCAGAGTGATCGACACACCGGAAGTCGCGGAAGCGAAAGCTGCGCATTTGGCGGCGCATGCTCAGCTAGCTGCCAAAGTCGCTGGAAAACTCTGATCATTTTTCCACTGTATATCATCAAATTTATGTTACACAATGAAAGTCTAAGTATACGTTCTACTGATGAAGCAAACGATAACTTAATTCAAAGAGGACTAATCGACCGAAGAAGGAAAATCGAATCTATTTGTGGGCAACTTAATGTAACAATTTTTATAATAAATGAGATTTATTACACACTCGGATTTGTTTTTTTTTTAGCCTTAATGTGTCCTTTTGACTGTCGATAATCGACTCTAATAGGACTTACCGATGACCACTAATGGCCGATAGCTACTTGATTAAGACGTTTTAACCCTTTTAGTTCTAAATCTTCTTTTAAGAGTAAACAAATATTTGATTACACATTTAAACTCTCTAGACTGTTTAGATACTGTGTTTAAAAAATTAAAAAAAAAGGTTTGTTATTCAGTTCTAAATTCACTAGACCTACTAAAAATATTCAGAACGTGAAAAAATTTAAATTTATAAGAAAAATATGGATCTGCAACACACTATACCTAAGGCTTTGTGTGAAATTGTAAGGAAAAGGTCTGAAAGGGCTAATTTTAATTCAACTCTGTTTTACTTAATTAAAAGTAACTTGTTCGTTTAGATAACAAAATTTTCTGGACAGTGAAACTAGGGTAGATCCTAGAATTGGCGCTGAGCAAGACACTATATCAGACAGAAATTCTTCTGAATGTACTATAAAGGTGCGTATCTACTTGTTGCGTATGAGAATGTATCTTATGGTGATACGATACAATGATACGCAACGGTGATACGATACGGAGATACGCAACAAATCGATGCGCATTTTAACACTCGAAACTTTGAAAATATTCCCATAGAGTCTCTTCTTCCTTTATTAATAAAAAAAACTGTAGACCATTCAACGAGTCCACATATATATTCTATGTTCTTTCCTTTATTTCCTCCTAAAGAATTATCTCCATGTCACTGCGCTCTGTTTTTACAACTACACGTTATCGGCTTAGACGGTATACCGTTCAATCGTCTACGTCCATTTTCGACACGTTATTCGGTACTGCGTTTACGTTAGAAAAACAAACTCCAAACCACGCGTCACTAAATAATCATCGTACACGTACAAGTTATATGTATATAATATAAATATAGAAAAACGAAATCGTTACACGATTACAAAAGTATCAAATAAATAGATCCTGATGGTTAAAAATTGTCGCGACGTGACAAACGAGAGGAATCGCGCGTGGTATACAATTATTCTTGACACAGACCCTTATAACTAAATATACACCGTCGACTCGTCCACCGTTGTTTCGTGTGACATGCGCACGCGCGAGGACATTGCGAAGAGAGGTAAAAGTTGTGTTTAGGGGACGCAGCTCTGATAACCTTGACCTTGACACACGTTGTTAAGAACACGATTCTGAGCAACCTTCCAAGTTTCAGCTGTCACATGTTTTATATTAAAAAATTATTAGCAAAAAAAGTTTGGTACCTCGTAGTATTGATAAGTAAAATGACCGATGACCTTGACATATGTTGTCAAGGTCACCATCCTGTATGACCTTCAGAAAGATTCAGTTATCAAATGTTTATTGAAAAGTTATTAAGAGAAATATGATATATTTTTTTAGAAATGTCTCTAACCAACTCTGAATGACTTTTTTTTTTTTGAACTATGTCTAACCGATTCTGAAGTATTTTATTGATCGGAGTTGGTGAAAATAACTAGTTGGAATAACTGGTAGGTATACGTTGCAAATTTATTTTCTTAATAACTCTTCTTGGACGTCATGGTCAAGGTTATTGGAGCTGTATCCCCTAAACGTAACTTTTAACCGAAGGGAGGATATACATAT